TATTCAGTCAATACCGACGTAAAGTGGTACTTTTCCTTTAGACGGCACTGGACGAAAAACCATTCTTTCTCGTTGACCAAGACCTTATGAAAATGCTACTATATCCATTGATGTAGAGTGATGTGGAAAACTTCCTCGTCAGGAGGACTCAAGCCCGCATCTCACTCTATGCGAAAGCGTGTGCTCTAATCCGATAAACCGCTGACACTCGTTTTGTACACCACTCTATATAAGCTGCGGCAATCTATCTGCCAACGAGAAGCCGTCAACTGTCTGGCCTAGGTAGTCACTTATAGACATTGAGCCTAGTCACGCTGACAGATACTGGGTATTAGATAACCAAAAGCTATTCCTTTTTATCTAACCTTTTTTAGCCGTGATATGATGTTTTAAATATAACCACTGATGTAGAGTAATGTGCAAAATTTTTGCTTCAGTCGGGACTCAAATTCACATCTAGCTTTATCCCGGAGCGCGTGCTGTAACCTGTTGCACTACTGATAGTCGTTTTGCTCATCATTCTTTCTACGCTACGCTTTCTTGGGGCTATTATAGTGTGCTAGCAATTCCCGGAAGTTTAAATTTCTAGCTAAAGCCGTACGTAGCCGATTTTTTTAGAAAGTCATTTTCATGACACTTCAACAAACACAAAACTCTTGTGTTTCACCCACACGTTTTCTCGCAAGACTGATTTTTTTCTCTAGACTTTTAGTAACTATTCAATAGCGTAAGATTGAGGAATTCCTACACTGGACTTGTTTTTTGGAAAGACCGCTTCTGTGCAGTGTAGAGAATAAAATGAAATTGATTCTATAAGCAAGAAGTGGTCTTTAGTCAATTCAAGGGCTGCGGGGTAGGAGGCAGGGAAGTCAGTGCGATCATCGATCAATTTTGGCTTTGATCAGTCTGCTGAAAGTGCGATCTTTGTTATTTAACCTGTGCTTTGGATGAAACTCCAAATCAAACGTCTGACTGATACTAAAAGATTTCCTGTACTCGTTCATGTGCATTTTGTGCTTCCAGCGATGTAATGGATCACTATGCGGCCGGTGTGAAAGATAATCTTATTTTGAGTTTTACAGCGTTCTAAAAGGTTTCTTCAAAAACCGGTAGCGTATGCCTCCAGCTAGAATGTCATGTAAGCTATTGAATCGTTACTGCACTCTTATAAAAGCTCCTGTCCAGCAGAAGGGATCGCTTCTTCATTCCATGCCATAAGAAAAAATTCCGTTTTCAAAATTGGATTTTTAGAAATGATGGATTTTTTTCGCTCAATCCCGTTATCGACAATAGACATAATTGATATCGCACTACGCTGTATTGAAATCACGACGCAGCTGCAGGATGGCTGTTGCTATTATATTCGTCATTGTATTTTCTAAAATACGATTGATACATGCAAACCTAATAATTATCATCAGCAGTTTCCTGATATCGTGCCTGATCGCTTCAGTGAACAGAACAGTCTCAGCCATTGAAGAGCTCTGTACACCCATAGACACACAACTTGCAAATGAGGCAACTCTTTGGCGAGAGTTTCGGATCGCCGCAATATTTTCAGGTATTATAGGCTGCTGCCTATCGTGTTTAATAGCTTTAATTTGCTGCAAATTTTATGTTTATTCTACTCAATTCGTTTGCATACCTATGTGCACACCTCAGCCTTTCTTATAATGATCCGCTTTGTCGGTTCCATCAACCCAAAGGTCCTCGGAATTTTTGTTTACTGGCCCTGTTGTTGCATGAGGTGTGGTCGTCTTCTCTACGAGTTTTATTGAATGCTGTTAGAGGCAGTCTTTTCAGGAGTACTGTAGCAAGCGGACTAGAAGACTCCCACTTTGAGAACACAAAGACTGCAGTGTTACTTGAGGTTCCACGTTCTGGGATTAAATTTTTTGTATTCCACGTAACGATCTGAGGTTCCTTGTCACAGTGAGACTGCAAGAGACTAGGTCAAAAGGAAGCTATTACATAAAAATGGGCGCTAACTTCATCTTAGAGCTATTGATAATATGTCAAAAAGCTTTTTAGTTATATGAATTGGACTTTTTAGTTGGTGCTCATCCACTTTTATTGGCTTTTGAACGACTATTAGCTGTTGCAAGATCAAAGACGTACGAGAAAGAAAGAAACAGTGTACTGCTGTTGATCCTGATAATCTTTATGGTTACTATTTTCTCATTATACCAATTTGACTGTCATAAAGGGAGTTTTCAAAACAGTTATAGGACAGCTATGACAGAAATCTATCTGGAAGACAATAAAAGTAATTTATTTATTTTCGAATGAAAAGCTTTGGAAGTTTATAATTTGAAGAGGTCTCATGCACGCAGTCTACATCGCTAATTAATACTGTTTTAGTGGGTACTCTCCATTTTCATCATATTTTTACCTCGATTTACTGCGGTGTCACCCATAAGTATTTACTTCCCTTTTTTTCCAATCCATTTCATCTCTGTTTTGGTAAGAAAATCTACTGTTTCTTTACTATCGATTAGCATTTGATCTAAGTAAGATCAGCAGTAATGCATATTTTTCCCCACTCTTTTCTTGATTTGGTTTGTTATAAGCAAAAATTTTAGATTATTCTATACATTCGCCGAAGTAATCTGGCGTTATGGAGAAGAAATCGAGGAGTACTACAGATTTCACACAACTATCAGGTATTGATCATGCCTTTACTCTCAACTGTTTGTATAGAGCATGCTCAAAAACAAGAATCTGATATGATGATAACATGTTTAGATCATTATCGCTTTGAAACGAAGACTATATAAAAAGTCGAGAGTTAAGATACGATTTATTTTAGTAGGTATAAGCGCTCGACTATGGTCACTGTAATGTTGGGGGATTTTGTTACTCGATATGTGGTGCTCTAAATAATTCGGCTCAATACCATTATAAGCAGGAGTATGTTTACCTGCAAGGGATCGGCTAAACCGGAAGGCACCGTACTGCTGATGAACCAGGGAGAAGCAAAACAGCGGTCTATGCTGTATAAGTGCCATATCAGACATAAAAAACTCAAAACATGTTTCACCTTATTAGATATTAATTTATTAATGGCAAATTTCTACTTTATGAAAAGCCGAAAAGAACTGCCGAAAGGTCAGCTGTTGAATAAGGATTGTTGTAACGCCTGAGTTTGGCTTAAAGAAGAAAAGTAGGAATTATATTGAAGCTTGCCGAGGTTAATAGATAGTCGGTCTTGGGAATTGTTATGAAAAGTTCCAGATTCTTGCAACCAACAAAAGAAGCATTATCTCTAGGACAAAAATTGCCTTAGCTCAACAATGTTTGAAGTTTCTCCGACGCTGCATAGAACACCGAATCGCTGCAAACTTCACAAAACAAAAACAACTTCACGCAATATGTGGTCTGTCAGAGGCAGCCATCGTATACTGGAAATCGAGTGCTCCGCGTTTTTACGAAACAAGCAGGACAAGGTGTACGTTTTGCTCAAGAAGTGCGCGGCGAAGGAATACTATCGTGATCAGTATTTGGAAGGCAATGTTTGGGGGAGAATAGTTGGTGGGTCGAAGTTGATTACGACTCCATTAGGTTGGATGCTAAAGTTAATTTACGGAGAAAGTTTGATGATCTTTCGAGTAAATCTCATAACATGATTTTGAGAAAGCATACGGATACCGCTGATAAAGATTAAGGATTTACGATAGGGCAAATGATGCGCCAAAAAATTGAAGAGTCACGAAAATTGAAGATCAAGAGGTATAATTCTATCTGATGATGCGCTCGCTATTAGAACCCGGTCCAAGCTTCTCATCATCTCAACCCATTTTTAAGAAACCTTGCGTAGGGTTACGTGTAGCTTACATGAACTGCAAGACGAACTGCGTAAAATGGCTAGAGCTGAAGAGACCAATAGGAACGGATTGCAAGGAGAGGTTGTACCAATATCACTATTTCATCAGCCACAGACAACAAGACCGCAACGATGAAGTTGGTAGATAATTTTGGAAATTTGCGGATGAGACATCAAGAACTCATATTTACTATCGCACAAAGGGTTTCACTCGAACGTCAGCGAATTACAAAAACGTAGCATGAAAGAGATTTGAGAGTTGATGAGGGAAGAAAGGACAAGGCTATCAGTTAGCGATAAAGGTGGAGAATTTGTAGTGATTCCTCGACAGTTAGATATCGCATGACGAATAAGCATCTGAAGATGCTTCACTTTACCGATCATCTTTTGTTAAGAAATTTCAAAGCGAAACCGCAAATTAAACATTCAATGAGTCCATACGGCAAAAGTGGCAGATTTAAGACCACCCATCTTTTTTCGATTAGAAAACCAACCACTAACATGCCCTATCTTATACTTAGTTATAAAAACACATAAGTTAGTATTCACTAAGATTTAACGTCTAACGATCATCTATATTGAAAGTTAGACCCATTATAAGCTGTGTAGGCGGACCGACAGATAAGTAGCATGGTTTCTCACTCTAATAACATCCTAGTTTCTAGGACACATTGCAACCCATGTGACCAACACTCAGATGTTCCTGGACCGTCTACGTAATGCCAGTCCAAACAGCGCATACGTAATGGAGTCATTCGATGTCACTCCTCTCTATACCAACGTGTCGAATGACTCTGCATTGCAGACCACACACAATCTTCTTGTACAACATCAAGGAGCTGTAAACACGTATGGCTTGTCGATTTGGCAGTTCATGATGCTCTTAATGGAGTGCCTGTACTAATCAATCTCCAGACGGTCCTGGAAATACTTTGCTTGAATGAGAGGGTTGACAATGGGGCAGCGACTAACGCCTAGCCTGCCTATTGCCTTTATGTCGAAAGTGGAAACCTCAATAATAGATTCCCGGCTATTGCTTCGCTGTGGGTATATAGATGATTTTTTGGTTACTTGTTACACTTAAGAGATTTTGGATAATCAATTAGATTTCATTTTATTTGACCTCGTATTGCGCTATTATGTTGCAATAAACCCAATAATGTAGTGCAGAAACATTTGCTTCAGCCGGGATTCGTATCCAGATCTCACTCTTTCCGAGAGAGTGTGCTGAACCGTTGCACCACCGATGATAGCTTTGCACACCACTCTTTCTACGCTATAACGCGTTATCTGTCAACAGCCGACCGCTTGCACACCACTCTACATTATTGGGTTTATTGCAACATCATAACACCGCAGTACGCGGTCAAATTAATGAAAGTTGATTGATTATTGAAGTCCAATATCCGTCAGCATAAGTGGGTTCAATGTTGATAGTGGCTGCCAAGCCAGACAGTAAACGACATATAACGCGTTGTAGCGTAGAAAGAGTGCTGTGCAAAGCGAGTGTCGGTGGTGCAACGATTCAGCATAAGCTCCCGGAAAGAGTGAGATCTGGGGTTCGAATCCCGGCAGACACAAATGTTTTTGCACACCACTCTGCATTATTAGGTCTTAGATAATTGCTTTAGACTGTTTAATGAACAGCCAGAGTATATAGTACTCATCCGCGAGTTACCAAAGGACAATTGGCTTCCTTTCTTTAACGTGCAAATAAATTGAACCGAGAACGGTTACATAGGAAAGTGGTACCGAAAGCCAAGTAATAAGAATCTCTTGATTCACTAGTTTTTCTCTCATCCCTCACGAAAAAGGCGTTAGTAAAAAACATGTTTCAAACAGCCGCCAATGTGTGTACCGGAGAAGAGAGGAGAGTAGAATCTGTAAAACTAGCTCGTGAAATAGCCATTTCTAATGGATACGAATGTGTAACCCCTCGGTCTAGGTTTAAAGAAAGCAACACGCCTTTGAAAAAATTTAAATAAAGGGAGAATCCCGTTATCCTCCCGTTCTGTTCACATGAGATAAGTACAGCTATAAAACGTTGCTTGAAAAGAGCACGTTTAGAGCATTCAATAGCTATCATTGAAATACCACCGAATACTCTAAGGCGTCAATTAGTTCGTAACCGCTAATATGACCGTCTCTGTATAACGAAAGATTGTAAGATATATCCTAACGGCAGAGACGGTGATTGCATTTGCGTAGGTACAGTCTCTAATCTCTAGCAAAGCGTGCAACGATGAATATATTGGCAAGACGGGTAGGCCGCTCTATGTCCGCATAGAAGAATACTTAAGTGACAAGCGTCATAATCGACGTAACACCCCGCTAAGGGCACATAGAGCACGAATGCATGACGGAGTAGAATTTGACATCAAAGTTACTATACTTGAGCAGGAACGTAAAACATCAGAGCGAAAGATTTTGGAAGCATTTTGGATTAATACGACCAATCTAACTATAGACCGCAGGGAGGAATGCCTCCTTATCACTCGTGATATAAATCAGTATATAAGACTGTTTTTTGATGGGTGCATTGCACTACCCACTGTGTTCTCGTTCCGGTGATCTCCACTTATATCATTTAGTGGAACACATATTACAAGCGATGAGTATGTCGAGAGATGATATTGTGCTTGGTGCGATTAAAATCTAGGTCTGGTAATTTTTTCTAAGGGAGTAATGGAGGTGTTTGACTAATTGGACTATTCACAACTTGACCTATCCAGGCTCTGAAGAAGGCGAACTGTCGAAACGTTAGCTGCTGAATAAAAGGATTTATCAAAGCATGCCGAAAATAATAAATAACCGGTCTCGAGATTTGGGAGCCGGAAAAGGTGTAAAACTTTATCGCTAGATAGGATATCTATGCTGTAATTATCACTAAAAAGGCCATTCTCTACAAAATGGTGTAGACTACTATAGAATTGTTTTCTGATTATAATGTAGAACAAAATGTCAATGATTTGCATGTGGTTTAAATAAATTTTCTAATTAAAACTGATGGTTAGGTGAAATATCGATAAAAATTATTCGATTGCTCTACAACGACGTGCATCTTCCAAATCGGGCTTTCGGAGTCTCCTATCTGCACGACATCGAGATAATTTCAACTTTCCTCGCTTATAAGGTCAATACTCACAATCTGCTTGACCATTAACCAAATACATTTCAAGCAAGGAAGATTCATCGAAAGCCGCTATTGACCACACACTTGCATCAGTGCTTCCGTGCTGGACGGCTGTGTGGTAACAATATAATCGAATGAAATTTTTTAGGTCTCAGGCTAGTTAAAGACAAGTAACCTCAATCAGTACGGACCCAATGTGAGTAATAAATCGTGGGAGACACATTGTCGCGCAATAGAGCTTGTTCTGATCAATAAAATGTAGACTGCATGATAAGCATTTCATTTCAAATTGATAAACATTTTTGTATTAAGCTGTGCGATGTGTTCTTTCTATTAGGTTGCCCCATATTCTATTTTGGAGGTTTTTTGTGTCTTAGACCTCGACAAATGAATATGCGCCTCTACTCGCTGAACAAGATCTTTACATAGGAGTGTTAGTAATCGCTTAATAGCTTAAATCTCTGGCTGAAACAACATGTGGCAGCTTCCAAAAAGATTTTTTATAACACTCCAGCAAAAGGTAAAGTTTACACACCCTCTTTGTCGCAAAACAGAGCTCTTTCTTTCGACCATTAAGAATCATTCGATAGTGTAAAAATTAACGATCCGCAGTGCATAAGGGAGAACAAAATTTTCACATATGCGAGCATGTGGTTTATGACTAATCTACGAAGTGAATGAGTGGGGGCGCGGCATTTAGGAGTTCAACACGGCCATGGATTGATGGCTCTTCGACGGGTCGCATGTGAAGTGTGATTCGTGGACAGAAACGCACGATTCTGATACTACACAACAATCTCGATACGCTGATGTAATAGCGATTTGTATTCTTCGAGAAAATGAAGGCCAAGGGCGAGTGAGAGACAAGATGTAATTCTTAATGCTGCACCGTTGTAAAATGGCATTTTGAAAAATTGAAGACGCAAAGTTGAAGCCAGAAATTTGAGCTTTCCAGTGATTACTTACATTTCTGTGAAAACTTCCTGTCCACCAAATAAAGTCGGCTTCGAAATTTGTCTCCGCCTAGCATACATGTGATTAAAAAAATCATGAAATGGGCAATAAGTGATATAGTGAAGTTAAGGTTTGTATCATTTACCAACTCCGTAACTGTCTTCTGTGTCATCATGAAAAATGTTTTGACGAAAAAGCCAGTCAGATGTGAACAATCGGTTTCTCTATGCTTAGTACTGGAAGTAAAGTGTAGGAGTAGAGATTTTCGTGCAGATAAATTGCATATTCTTGGAATCAGTTAGCTGCAAAAGATGTAATTATTGATGAATTTTGTCAGTTTTCAGTCGATAAACTTAACCGTGGTCGCTTCTTAAAGGTTTGGTAGTTGCGAAAATTGTGATATTACTTACATCTATACTTGCGCCGTCATTTTTTGCTTGCAGATCAGGGACAACACAGAAACGGCAAGGTGGTTATTTCCTTTCATGGCAACCATCTCAGCCCAGATTCTTACTAGTTCCACATGCCTCATTATCCTCATATACTATTTGTAAGTTTCTTTATTAAGGAATTCCATATTATTTGGACCTTAGTTACCTGGTTGAGAGCATCGTCAAGGATATCAGAGATTTACTCATGGAACCAAAACGTATAAATTTTTGTGTTTGCACGCTCTCTATCAAAAGCCTCACACTCAGTCAGTCATTTATATATATATATAACATTTCTGTGCCGTGATGCGAATAACAAAAATTTCCACGTATTCCAGGAGAATAAATTCTGTGCCGATTTTTCTGAAAACTTTTGGCTTTATCTTCGACATAAGTATTGCTCTGCTCCCCACCACAACATCAATTGTTCTATATTATTGTAACAATAAAGTCAGTATGGCGGTCAAAAGATTATGTCGTGGATGTGAGTCACTTAAGATTCGTGAAATACGTTTTTGTATTACTTCCTTTGACTCGTCACCGTTTACATACACTTTCATATATATATACATATATATACATATATATATATGTACATATATGTACATATATATATGTACATATATATGTATATATATATACATATATACATATATGTACATATACATATATATATGTACATATATATATACATATACTTATACTACTATATACATACTATATACTAACTACTATATACTATATACTACTATATATCTAATGCCTTCTAATGGGTTTCTAATGCCCCATTCACGCTCAACGGAACGACAATTTCCGAATGCTCCAGTTACATCTATCTAGGTCGTGAAATCAACATGATGAACGACCTAGCCCCAGAGTTGAGCAGGAGAAAACGAGCGGCTTGGGGAACGTTTAAGAGCATCGAAGATGTAGTGAAGAGGACAAAGAACATGCGACTCCGTGCCCACCTTTTCGACTCGACAGTTATCCCTGCCCTAACGTATGCAGCAGAAACCTGGTCGCTACGTAAGCAGGATGAAAGATCACTTGCCGTTATCGAACGCGCAGTTGAAAGGTCGATGCTAGGAGTATCTCGTATTTCGCAAATGAGACAAAGGATCCGAACTTCCGACCTACGTCAACGATCGAAAATCAGAGACGCCGTTCTACACGCCAGGATATCGAAAATAAGGTGGGCCGGACACGTGATGCGCTTCAACGACAACCGATGGACGACAGCCGTTACCGACTGGATTCCTCGGGACGTCAAGCGCTCTAAAGGAAGACCACTGACCCGTTGGTCCGATTTCTTCACGAAAGCGATGGAAGAATGATGTGATGCTCAGCGAATTCCTAGAGCAAGGAGGACCCACTGGGCTACTCTTGCACGCGATAGGGAAAAATGGAAGAGTTGCTGGTACCAGCTCGAGTCACTCGACGATCAACGGGACGACAGGTGATACAGGTGATATACTATGTATACTATATATACTATACTATACTATATACTATATACTATATACTATATACTATATACTATATACATATATACTATATACTATACTATACTATACTATACTATACTATACTATATACTATATATACTATATACTATATATACTATATACTATATATACTATATATATACTATATACTATATACTATATACTATATACTATATACTATATACTATACTATATATACTATACTATATATACTATACTATATATACTATA